GGAAAAATCACATGATCATTGATCGAAGTATAGAATCGTCAACAAAGTTTTAGATTATAAGTTTGTTTTGTCCGACGACACTTTGCTCTGACGAGTCGTGTCGATGGGCGATAGCTCATTTTGCGAAATCTCGGTTTCAGTTACACGGCCGACGAAACTACGAAATCGGTGGGACGTTTGTTACACGTAATACGTAGACGATCGTCGACCGAGCGATATTTGATGACAGCTTCGCTTTACCATACCGATTGATTTTCCTATCCATTTGAATAATATTGTTGTCCGGCGTTCAGCCGTTAATATCTTGTTTACATGTCTCGGTGGAGGATCGCCTTGCATACAAGTTTGCAACGTAACGACAAAGTCCAGCGCGAACGGTTTCGGAGTTGTTGACTCTTCCCATGAATCAGCGGGCGCCGATTAGAAGAAATTGAAGAAATTATCGTTTCTTTAAATGAATAATTGCCTATTGTTACATCGTTGCAGCGCGAGTCATCGCCAGCCGTCCAGAAGTATGAAAAGTATGTATTACATTTCGATGGACAACAGGACCTCGAACCGATTTACTCCCCTTTGAGTCATCCACCTGTCTACCTTGAATATTGTTCATTGATTCCGAAGAAATCGTAATCAGTTTACCTTGAATCTCTCTCTCTCTCTTTCTCTCTCTCTCTGTTGGCGGCATGTACACACGTAGTGACGGAGCATTAGACACCGATTGCGACGTAACCGCGAAAAGGATTCCATCGCGATACGGAAATAGTCGAGACAGAGGACGATTTAAGGATAAACGAGGGAAAAGCGTAAGCGTCATCCGGCGAAATGACTGGAGAAAGGAAAACCTTTTATCCCGGATAGGAGGTTTCCGCTTAATATGTCATGCAGTCATCGAACCTGGAACGCCATTATCGTGATCGTTTGCTCCAGTGCCTCGTCGTAGTGCAAACATTCATCTGTCGCCGATCAACTGGCGGTACACAGAAGGCAAAATGCAGAAGACACGGCGGCGAGAGAGAGAGAGAGAGAGAGAGAGACGCATCGTGACGCGCGTTACCGTTGCTACATAATTAGCGCGCGAAAATAGATTTTTACGAAACGAGCCGAGCTCCGCTCTGGTATGTCAATGAAAACAAATCCTTGTTCCCCTTTTTTCCCCTCTCTTGCTCCCTTTCTCTTTGCCGAGGCCTGGTAGCTCTCCGGCGAAGGCCGCCGAATACTGAAATATACACGCCGTTCGGAATAGTCGAATCATTGTTTGCACGATCGAGTCGCCGGTGTATATCGTTTTCCTTCATTGCCAGACCGACCTAGCTTCCGAAATAACGGAATGATGCGTCTACGTCCCGGCCTGCGTCAGAACCTGTGCTTCCTCTCTCTCGAAACTCGAGGATTTCTTGCAGATTCTCGCGGGATGCCGGTATCGGGGGGGGGGGGAGGGGTACAGTAGAAACTCCCAGTCTGTTCATTGCAGAAATTCGGTCTCTTTTTTGCTCTCGATTCAACCACAGAGTCCGTCGTGAAATTGAGAAGGAAAAAAATTGCCAGATAACGTAGATTAATGAAACTCGAAACTCTCGAGGATCTCGTAGGTGAATTCTCGCGGCAATCAAAGCACGACGGAGTTGTATAATATTTTAACAGCCAATATAGATGCTTGTATGTATGCACTTGTCGCGTTGCTCCCCTACGTGCAGTCGGCACGTACATACGTACGTACAAGGCAATAAAGCGACACAAACGTATAAATGTAATTGGAAAAGTTGCGACACGTGCGGCGGCCTTGTTTATGTAATGCAGGAAAATTTGCATCGATATCCGATAAATCGCCGAGCGTTCTCTGAAAATTTATCCTTTGATCGTTCTAATTTCGCCCGTTGAACATCGTTCATTTCCATGGGAACGTGAGAAAGAAAAACAGCGTTTCTGCAGCAAATATGAAACCGACGTACCTGCGACGATTATCTGTGAATCGTTATTGCAAAAAAAAAAAACAAAAAAAAAAAAA